GTGATTTGTGATTGTGTGTGCAGATGAAGAGGGTGAGAGATTGTTAGGAGACCGATACTGCAAGGGAAGGTATGATTGAATAGTGGGTTGTGATAGATTTTCGCAGAAATGGGTTGAGGGACGGATATAGTGAGTGGGTTTGTGGGTGGGAGAGGAAGAGGGAGGGCAGGTGAGCGGGGAGTTCAGTGGGAAGATGAATGAATTACTACGTTGATAGTCTTTTTGACAGACAGAATGATTGAAAGTTGGAGTATCTATCTCCTGAGTAAGATATATGTGTGTGCATGGGTACGAATGTATGTGTGTAAGTGTATGAGAGTGTTCATGTAATGTGTGTATGTGGGTAAAATATATAAATAGAGGTTTTCTTATGCATTTATAACAGTTTTGCTGTAGGAGACTATTGGAGTGATAGTACTTCAGAAAATATTTATATGTATTTCTATATTTTAAAGAACAGCAGTTAGTGCAGAGAGATTCAGTTTATGAAACCCTGAATTGTTGTGAGATGTTCAGGTTGCGTAAATATTTGTCACTGAAAGTCTTTGGAATATTATTGGTTATCCATTCACAATCTATCATGTCATTGCAAAAAATCAAAGATGCTGGGTGACACCTTATCATGGGTTCACTTCCTATTTGTGGGTGTGATGGCTGGCTTGTCAGATGGTGAGCCAAACAGTCACTGAGATGCAGAGTGCAGCAGACTAATGTACCCCGACTTGCCAGGCTGTACTAAAAATTTTACTGTTGTGAATGGGATGATGAGATATATTTTTTTTGCTTGTTGAAGATGAGTGAGGAATTGGTATGAATTACATTTGATACATTTTGTCTCAGGTTCCTGTTAGGACGGCATAAGCTAGCAGTAGAAGCCTATTTACAAGCAGAGGCAAAGAGTGACAAGCCAGACTGGGAGATACATCACAATCTGGGTAAGGTTTCCACTTTGTAGGCTAAATTGACTATATATATCATTGTTTAGTTTAAGATTCAAGAGCTTTATTGTAGACTTTAAGTACAGGTTTTTGAAGTTATTCATGGAAATTAACATAACTACATTCAATTTCATTGAAACTTGTAATTAGATTTATAGACTAAATTGATAAAATAGTGGGGTCATACAGAATGATGTCAAAATTCTTTTTTTCCTTTGATTTTTTCAAGGTGTATGCTACATGCATTTGAAGGAATATGACTTTTCAAGGGAGCAGCTCCTCTTTGCTCTTGAGCAGAACAAACATCATCAGACCTTTGCAATGCTGGCAAAACTCTACCTCTTGGAAGGTGATATGCAGTCTGGCATCAATACCTACAAGGCTGCCATTGAGTGAGTCTTTGCTTGTCCTAGTCTGAGCACTTTTTACAAGTATAAATGTTAAAGTATCATTGGGAATGTGATGATTTTATCTTTTGGCATAGTCCTTCAGCATTTTTAAAATCTTTTCTGAAATGTGTTTTCTTCTCATTCCTAACAGGTACTTTCCTGAAAATGCAGATCTACACACCACTCTTGGTCTGCTGTATATGCAAACAGGGAAGCACCAACAAGCCTTTGAGCATCTAGGCACAACCCTGACCTTTGAGCCCCAAAACACACGGGCTATTCTTGCTGCTGGGGCAATGATGCAAGTAAGTGCAATGCAGATAGAGAATTGAAAAATGTATGCAAGATTATCAATCATTCTATTTTTTTTCTCAGGGTTTTGTCTGCTTATTTTATGGCTTTATATATACACCTAAAGATGTGATTTATACCTTACTCCTTGCACTAGATTTGATTTGTGATTATTTGAAAGCACTTTTTTTGTAATTGTTTGAAATGACTTTTTTTAACATTCACTAGCACAGATTTGTTTGTTTATATATTTGTTTAGTTATTTTATTTCCAAACTTTATTGCAACAGTGTTCAAGGGCATAGCCAGGACTTTAATAAGAGGGTGCATTGGCAACAGACAATTCAATAGGCTTCCAGAGATATTAGAGATGGTCTGTGATACTTATATCTTGTGTCTTGCATGACTGTATTGTTTTCTTGTGTGTTTTATGTAAATGTCTCTGTGTTCCCCCCTCCCTGGCTACACCGATTGCCTTATTACAGTTATATTTGTAGCACTTTTTTATTTTGTGTTTAAAGTTGCTGTCACATTACCTTTGGGTTTTTCAGTTTCAGTTATGCCCAAGCATTGTGCATGTTTATAGCTGAGTGTGTTTGTAAGATGGTGCATTTAACAACATTAGGTAAGTTCTGCAATTTAGTGTTGTCTGGAATATTGATAATAAAAAACTTAAAGGTAGTTCATTATTGAGGGCTATAGGTGATCACACAGCATCCACAAATGAGCATACTTTTTTTATAAATTTATATTTAAAGAAACTAGATTTTATCTTTATAAAGTACTTAGTGATGATCACAAAATACAGAAATGTATGTATTTGATATTAGTGGGCAAAGATTGTTGTAGGATGATTATAGATAGAATAGTGGCTGGTGAATCCATGTACAAGGGGTTAGCCTAACTTTAATAAGGTACCAGCTAAATCTTGAAATACTTCCATTGTTCAGTTTTGTTATTATTTCTGTGCAATCTTTCACTCATATAAGTGTTTAATTCAAACAGAGTCACCAAGATTTTGATGTGGCTTTGGCAAAATATCGAATTGCAGCCCAAAAAATACCTGAGTCACCTCTACTATGGAACAACATTGCAATGTGCTTTTTCGGCAAGAAGAAATATGTTGCTGTAAGTGTGCACTTTCCTGTATTGATTTGCCCTGAAGTGGGCTTATAAGTTCCTGGAAATTTTTGTCCTGTATTTCTTTTTTTGCTGATTTGATATTCCATGGTAGAATGTTTATCATTATTTGTCATGTAATATTCCTGAATGTTCCTTGGTATTATGTGATAAGGATTTCTTATAATATATGAAATATGCATATGTAATTTTGTTGTGGATGATAAGAATCTAATACATTATTAACACTCTAGGCCATAAGCTGCTTGAAAAGAGCCAACTATCTGGCACCATTTGAGTGGAAGATCTTGTACAACTTAGGCTTGGTTCACCTCACGATGCAGCAGTACACATCAGCCTTCCACTTCCTGTCTGCTGCTGTCAACTTGCGGCCCACTAAAGGACATATTTTTATGCTCCTTGCCAGTAAGTATAGAGCCAGAATCATGTCTTTTGTTGTGTATATGTAAAGGATTTTAGGAAAGTGTTCATAATCATGTTTGTCAGAGATAATGTTGATTTGGAATTCTGAGGGTGTTTATATCTTATCTTCTGTTTTCATAATTCCAGCTCGAATTTAGTGTGATATATCTTTATTGACAATACAATATATAGATTCTCGTGGATGAGAATTCCTATCCCGAGCTGATTTTTTTTTTCTGAAACAGGCTGCACATACCACATTGATTGTATTGTATTGAACATTGCTTGGTTCCAGTGAAGCTTATTGAATAACACATTATGATGTTATACGTAGTTTTCTAGGAAGATGTAACTTGTATATTATACTTAATTTCTTTTATTATATTTGTGGATTAAAAAAAAATATTTATGATATTCTGCTTTCATGAATCTTCTGTACAGTTTTGATTGAATTTTAACATATGTGTGGTTTACCTGCACATTTTAGCAAAAGTTTTGACAAAAGAGATATAGTCATTTCTTTTTGGATGAAAATTTTCTGAAAGTTTTTTTATCAGGTTTGTCAGCAATTGGATTTTATGTTATGTAAAAATGTATTTTGGAAATTATATCATATGCATTTATGAAGTAATGCCATATGCATTTAAGAAATGATATATCCATTTATGAAATGATATTATATGCATTTATGAAACATTAGTACTTGAATATGAAATGTTGTGTAAGAAGACGTTGGTTTGAAAGTTAATGCTCATTATTCTGATTCATTTATATATACACACTTACCTGAGTTTTTTGGTCATTGTGCTTTTCTTGGACTAATGTTGATCTTTTGCAGCAGCAAAAAAAAAAAAAAAAAAAAAAAAAAAAAAGGTTTCCCTAACAAGGATAAAAGGATATCTGATATAGAGTTATCCTCTACTCACTCAGAGATTTTATGCCTCATGTCTAGTGCAACACCACTTTCCAAATAAATCAATCTTCGGATAATGTGTTTGGGACCTCAGAGTATTTAGACTCGATTGGAGTGGTCCCATCAACCGGTGACCTTGAGTACGAGCAGTATGTGATGGAGTATTTGTGAAATATTAACTGAAATAACATCCTCAGTAAAATAAGTTTAGAATGCCAACATTTGGCTAGGTTGCTACGTTTGGTAAATCTTCCATTTTATTTTTATGCAATTTCATTTTCGTATGATTTCCTCTTTTTTTTTCTCTATCTTGTAATCATCACCCCATGTTCTTTATTGGGTGTTTTTATTTCTATTGCGTCTATCTTCATTGATTTATAGATATTGTTGCGGGATAATGATATTTCATTTTTTGGAAAGGGTGAAGGTACTTGAATTATTTGAATTAATTTTGATTTAAAGAATCACTTATCATTTGTTTTTATATGAACTCTAACCCTGCATTCAATATGTTTTTAAATTATTTAATGTTACTAGTGTTACACATCAATAGTAATAAAAATAGTATTATTATTAGCTGTAGTATTAGCAGAAGCAGTAACAGTAGTGGTAGAAAATAGCATGACAGTAGTATAGTAGTAGTAGTAGTAGTAGTAGTAGTAGTAGTAGTAGTAGTAGTAGTAGTAGTAGTAGTAGTAGTAGTAGTAAGTAGTAGCAGTAGCAGTAGTAGTAGTAGAAGTAGTAAGTAGTAGTAGTAGTAGTAGTAGTAGTAGTAGTAGTAGTAGTAGTAATAGTAGTCGAAGTAAGTAGTAGTAGTAGTAGTAGTAGTAGTAGAAGTAGTAGTAGTAGTAGTAGCAGTAATAGTAATAGTAGTAGCAGTAATAGTAGTAGTAGAAACAGCAGTAGCAGTAGCAGTAGCAGTAGCAGTAGCAGTAGCAGTAGCAGTAGTAGTAGCAGTAGTAGCAGTAGTAGCAGTAGCAGTAGCAGTAGCAGTAGCAGTAGCAGTAGCAGTAGTAGCAGTAGCAGTAGCAGTAGCAGTAGCAGTAGCAGTATAGCAGTAACAGTAGCAGTAGTTGTAGTAGTAGTAGTAGTAGTAGTAGTAGTAGTAGTAGTAGTAGTAGTAGTAGTAGTAGTAGTAGTAGTAGTAGTAGTAGTAGTAGTAGTAGTAGTGTAGCAGTAGTAGTAGTAGCAATAACACCAGTTATAGAAGATGTAATAGTTGTAATAATTGTCATTAGTTGTAGTAGTTGAGTTACTTGCTGTTCTTGCTGCTACATGCTGCATTTGTAGTATTGCAGTACTAGTAATAGTGGTTGTAGTTTTAGCAGTATTAGTAGTAATTTTAGTAGTAGTAGTAATAGTGGTAGTAGTTTTAGCAGTATTAGTAGTAATTTTAGTAGTAGTCTAATAATAGCAGTAGTAATAGGAATAGAAGTAGTAATGATAGTAGTGGTTTTAATAGTAGTAATTATATTAGTAGTGGTATGATAGTAGGTGTAGTTACAGTAGTAGTAATATTAGTAGTGCTAGTAGTAGTTGTATTATTACTACTAGTAGTAATAGCAGTAGAAGTTGTAGTAATGGTAGTAGTAGTTGTAGTGTTACTAGTGATAGAAGTAGTAGTAGGAGCAGAAGTAGTAAGAATAGTAGTAGTTGTAGTTGTAGTAGTAATAGTAGTAGCAGTGGCAGTAGCAGTAGTAGTCGTGATAGCAGTAACAGAGATTAGAGTAGTAATGGTAGTAATAGTAGTAATGATGATAGTAGTAGTAATGGTGGTGGTAGTAGTAATGGTTTTAGTAGTAGTAGTAGTAGTAATAGTCATTAGTTGTTGGTTGTTTGTAGTTGTAGTTAGTAGTTTTTTTTAAGACTTCCAATATACTCCTCAGGAAAATTTGGAAAATACAAAAGGATAAAGTGTTAAACTGTAAAATTTTCTTCCCCAAACAGTTGCTCTTACCTATTTAGATGACGAAGAAAATGCAGGCCAGGCATATGACCAGGCACTAAGATTAGAGATCCGTGATCCGAGCATCTGCCTCAACTACGCAATCTTTCTGTATAACCAAGATGCCATGGTAACTATTACTAACACTCTTCCTTCCCTTCTTTTCTTTTGCTTTAGCTTATTAGACTTTTGAATCTGCTATTTCTATTCCCGAACAGTTTCCCTAACCTATTTAGATGATATGGAAAATGCGCGGGAAGCTTACGAGCAAGCTGTAGTGTTAGAGCCCAGGTGTCCGAGTGTCGCCCTCAACTACGCTATTTTTCTCTCTAACCATGAGGCGGTGGTAAAGTAGAGCTTCTGCTTTGTTCGGCACTCTGATATATGCACTTCTGTGGCATGAGACAAAATTTATGGGTGGCTTTATGTCAGTTGTAAAAGGTATTTGTTGTGTTATATGTTTGCTATTAATTTTTGATATAAGATTTTTCCCCTGTGAAGCTCTTTAGGATTGATGATGTCAAAGGTGTTTTTTTTTAAGGGGCTACTTTTGTTTACAGTATTTTTTCAATAGAGTTAAGTAATTTATCCAGTTTGACAGATGTTACTTGTTGACGTTGAAGACATTTGAGTATGTTTAGTCCATAGGATATTGTAAGGAATAAGGTTTAGTATTTTTAGTAATATTGTAGGTTGTCACCTGTTTCTTCAAAATATGGGATTCTGTTAAAGTCTGTATAGTTGTCACTAGTTTTTTAAGTGAATTATAAAGTTTTAAGAATAGAAAACAAATGTTTCCATATTTGACTCAGTATAAACAGTTTCTTGCAAATTTTCAAATGGGACTCGAATGTGATCATTCTCTGCTCTTCCTTATTTATTGGTCACTCTGTGGAATGTCATGTCATCTGTATACCTTTCACCTTAGTCTTTTCACATGTCACATGAAATCAGAAAACACCAGGTAACACTTGCCTTATAAATCAACATGAATTTAACATATGAAACCAGCAAGCAGTCATAATATTACAGCAATTATACTACACAAGAGACCAATTTCCAACACCTGATATCATCCATCTTAAAGCAGTTGCATGTCCAATAGAATGCTCTTGAAATGTGATTGTTAATGTATTTCTCTGTGTGTGATTTTAAGGAGGATGCGAAGAGAATGATCAATGAATTTGAAGCAAGAGTTGTCAAGTTCAGGCAGTCCACTGGGGCAGATCTTGATACAGAGGTGAGTTAGCTTTGTTTCATTCAGATAGATAGATATAGAATGCATAATCATGCAGAATACACATTACTGTGAGGTTGAGTGTCATACATAGAAGAGTAATAATGAAATAAGTATTAAAAGTATTAGGCAAGAAGACAGTATGAAAGATATGGAAGTTAGTGGCTTGAGTTTGCATTTGTAATCATAAAAATCACATAAAATATTTTCTTTTTGTAATATAAATGTTCTGCTCAACAGATTCTA